GTTATTCGCCCCCTAGTGAACATTACAGGCATTCCGTGACAATAATAAATGCCTATTACAAATATATTGAATTATTTATATTGTTATATTGATTAAATAATAATTTATTGGCCAAATGAATAATAATAATTTATATCGTTAATTTAAATAAGAATTAAAATTGTTAATTTGAATGTTTGAAATATGATACACGATAGGGGCGCCTCTAGTGTCCGTTTTCAAACGGTTACGGGACAGACGGACAGTTGAATGGGTTATATATATAGATATTGGAATACCCAAAGATATAGCCAAGGATTGCAGCGCCACAGCACTAGCAAAAATTTTAATTTGCCGACTGAAATGCTTTCGGATAACCGACGTTTTGGATAAACGACGCTCTACTGTAATTAAATACGATAAGATTATCGAAATTAAAAGATGATGTAGGACTCCCTTTATTTCAGTACCAAAATCTCCCTTGCCAATAACAACCAAGGAAATTGTAATTTACAAGAAAGTTTTAATTGTTTGGAACTTTTTGAACAATCAACTAAGAACATCTCGGCCGATATGTACCGTACGTTACGACATATTCAATCGTTCCAATTTTCAATGGACTTACGTCAAGCTAAAGACACTAACAAAATTCAAAATTTCGTTGCTATAGAATGCGATAAAAAGTTATTGTAATCAAAGGAGTAATCAAGATATTAAATGCTTACGAAACATGAATTATATGTGGCATTTCAACAATTTTAGATCCTAGATTAAAGAGCCCCGTTTTTCGACTTAAGGGGAATTATAGAAATTCTTTAAAAGCAATAGCAAATAAACTTGCAAATACAATAAATTGAATTTCAATGAATGCCGAATCATTCGTACTTGAAAACGAACAAGAAAATAAAGAAGTCTAAATAATGCACCAGATCTTTTTGACTTTTTAAGGAAGAGTAGACATTCACCAAATACAAATAATTTAACAGCGGACGCAATTATTGCTTTTTGGTATTATATCGAACGATCGAGCCTCCGAATTTTAACCCGTTTCAATTTTGAGTCAACAAGGTAGATATTCTTATTTCGATAATCCGAAAACAACTTTTCACAAATACGGCTGTATTTGTGGTTTCTCTGTTGGCTCCGAAGAGCCTTCTCGACAACCGGAGATATTATCTTTGAAAAAGAAGCCGATTATAGTCGAGAAATGTAAATTATTTAATATTTCTGAAAAAAATAACTTTTTAATTAAGTATAGTTTGTTTGTTTATTAAATAAATCCGATTGTTTACTATGTTTTTATTTGACATCCACTTTACACTAATAGGATTTTTTAAAACTCTTTCCGCCCTGTAGAGCAGTAGGAGGCCTCTTTAAGCAAGCCAATTATGGGTTCAGACAGCCCACAATGGGGCGGCCAGGTAGTGATGGACGGGACCCAACATATTCGGTCGGACCACCCCCGAAAAATTCCTGGGGATTTTCCGACCCGCTCGGATTCAATCTCGGGTTCTCCAGAGCTGCTACTTTGACCGCTCGGCCATCGGCCGCTACATTAATAGGTTAGCAATCGATTGTAAATCAGATAACCGATCGATACTATCGCTGTTTTGCATAAAAATATCGACATATATCGATGGATATTCGAACACTAGTCTACAGTAAGATAAACAATGATAAACGCGCTAGTTTTACTCTTCGGATCGGGCGAAAAAGCTGACGTTGCGTATGCACCACGATGCGGAAGAAATTGACATTAATGCTCGCTCAGGGTCTAGATGTTTGTGTCTGACGACCGTAGGCTTGGAGTGTATCTCTTAACTTGCAATGGTCATTCAACGTCATGAGATTATCGCGGACGATCCGGCTATTTGTCCGTGCCAAGCAACGTGATTTTTCGTGTCCGCGTCCGTCTGATCACTCCCATATATGCAATCCCGTGACGTCCGTCAAAAATGACAGGCGTGAAATCACGCTCGTCTGACAATAGCCTAAATGGGCAGGAAAATCGCTTATCTGTCCATACTGCAACCAAATTTGACGAATTTTATTTGTAATCTTGTGCAAAAGCTTGATAAGGCAGAAAATGATGCTAATTCAAATAGGTGCAAAATGGGGATTAAAAATTCTGTTTAAATGGATCCAGAGATCATTTCCTGATGGTTATGGTTCTCCAAAAATAAGACCTGCATTAAAAGTAGTGCGACATCGCAGATTCCTAAGCTTATTTATAAGCCTAGCAAACCAGTTAGTAGTCATTTCAATGTTTAATATACTTCAATAATAACAATCGATTCTGCGTAACTTTAATATATTTCCATGACTAATATATTTTTTTCTTTCTATGAGAGATCGAATTTAATTGGATAAAACACCTGATTTTAAATGTAATTTTAATGATAGATTAGGTAGCGTTGAATAGAACAATTGATTTTTATATTACAATTCTATATTACGAAATTTGGTTTAATGTTTATTTTCTTACGAAAATTATTTATAATTTAAAAATTTCTCTTGTACCAATATGTATCGATTAATAAACAATAAAACATCCATAATGTAGTTTAACCCAAATGAAAAAATAGATGTTATAATAAAAAAAACCGAAATAAATACAGTACTAATAAAGCCCAATAAATAATATTTTTATACAGTTTATACATAAATTTATTAAACTATTATAAAGGAATCTCAAAATTTCGTAATTTTATTTACATTTTGTTCATGTTTTATGTTGTATAAAATAATTTATATTTAAACTGAAAATTACATACCAAGGTTAAAAATTTAGACCACCAGGCGTCGTGTTTCCTGTCATTTCGTCATTCAGACGTCAGTCGTTGTCGAGGATGGATGGTACTTCTCGCCTGGAATAAAGAAGCGGTCGCAACGTGCTGGCTATTATACGTCCAGCAAACAATAAAGCAATAAGTCGTTAAGTAAATGAAATCGAATAACTGTATAGATTATGGGTAAAAATAAAGGTAAACTATAAATTAGATAAAAAATTAATTAAAAAGCAATTATAATGAAACTATAAAATTAATTTTTTTATAAAGAAATTGACGAATTATTTCATTTTCCCGTACTTTTAAGAAATTAATAGCCGCATTCCAGTGACGTGGAATTTATTATTATTTTTTTTAATTTTATTGTCAGCTTAAACGATGATACTTCCCACACTTTTCGATAGTTTAACAATTAAATGGAGTATGCAATGTTTTTACCAGTTATAATGAACTTTATGAGATAATGTGTTTTATTCGTTACAATTTAAAAAATTCTCATTTGTAATAAAGGAAATTCAAATTGCTTTCGTTGAAAGTATGGCGGAAAGACAAAAATTTATTCTACAGGAAAAAAAAATTATAGTGCTTTTATATAATAGTTTTATTAAAATTGCGATGCTTTGTTTAGTATGTTTTTTGTTTAGTATTATAACATCATTTATAAAAGTTAAAATGAAAAGAAATAGAATTTAATTTATGTTTAGTAAAGTTAATATAGCTTTTAAAATAAAACTGGTATTCCTAAATAAAAATTTTGAAAAATAAATTGTTTATTGTATTTATCTAACATTTATATATATTATTACAAAATATTTTAAAAAATTAAATAGGTCATTATTTTGTATTTAAAAATTAGAAATTTTTAGTGCATAATATATATTAGGATTTATTTAGGATTTAAATTTTCAACTAATTAAAGTGATTATGATTAAACTTGTAATTATTTTTAACTGTTGTCCAATTGTTACAAGTGTTATGTAATAAGTTTGGAAATGTTTTTCATTTACTTTTTGAGATGTTTTTTTTTTTTTTTTTAGAAATATGATTTAGCAAAAATTTTGTTTTTTGCTTTTAATTAGTTTTTTAGTTCTATAAACTTTATAAACATATTGATTTTTCTATGCAGTTGTATTAAAGTAAAATGAAAAGAAATTCAATAATGTGCTCATCAAATCAACAATTATATAAAGAGACTAAAAAAGCAATAGCATAGATAAAACAGAATGAATATTGATTATTCAATTTCATTCTGATTCTTGAAATTAGTTATAGTTATATTAGTCATACTTATTTGTTAATGATTTTGAAATGTATTGTACTTTAAGTTTATATGTTTATATCTTCTTAGAAATTCTATTCAATCAGAAATATACACACACATATATATATATATATATGGGTGTGTGCGTGCACGCGTATGTACATAAAAGAAATTTAACTTAATCCAAAAATATACCTCATGTTTTTTTTAAGTATGTTTATATTATAAAAAATGTCATTTGGCATAATTCACACCATCTTGTATTTTATTGTAATGTAATTAATTGTTTTATATACCATAATCTCTAATAGATCTATTAGCAGAGAAAATTGCCTTATGATCTTTTAAGTTAAATGTTTGCTGGGTATCATAATAAAAATGTACGCAATAAGGACCAGTACTATAACTAGGCAGGTGCCAACTAGGGTGGCCAGACGTCCAGCTTTTTTCCAGATTGTCAGGCATTTGACTACTCTGTCCTCCATCCGGCATAACGTTGCACCAGACATCAATTTGTCCTCCTTTTTGGGTGTGATGAAAAATGTGTACAAAAATAGTTCAGTTGTCACTTCGAATGAATTGAGGAAGCTGGTTAACATTTCCAGATGGCCCACATCACTTTGACTTAATGGCACTTTGGCCATTTTATTTGTTAAGAGGCCAAAGAATTTCACAAGTGTTTACAAATAGTCACAAATATTTATTAGATGAGGGCACAGCAGAGATGAAAGGTCTAACCAATCATCTTCAGACTTTGGCAGAATTCTCCTTTTAACTGGATGGAAGTTGCATCTGCAGCTGGCAAGGTGGAGGAGGTTGGAGTTATTAAAATTTGAAACCAGACTGTTGCTGACCCCATAAAGAAGAGATGTTTTCTTTGAAGTTATTTCGACTGAGTGCCAACGCCCGTGTCTTTTCCAATTCTCTTGACGATCTCATAGGCATTGCCAAATTTATTTTTCCATTTTTTATTTATACATGTATGTATAAAATTAATGAAAAACATAGGGGGTCAACAGGGTGTGTGGGGTTACCCCTAACAGTGTCCTTCTTTTTAGGCTTTGGGTGATGGCCACCCTAGTGCCAACAGGTAAACAGACCCAAAGCACAAGATGAATGGGGGCTCAGAAATGGAGCATTAAAAAAAAATCAGTGTTATATTTTTATTATCAAACTTTAAATTTTGCCTATGGGGTTAGATTTCATAATGTTTTTGGTTAAAGTTAAAAAATAGATAATTTTTATTATACATTTTAAAATATTTTTTTCTAAAAGAAAAGAAGATCAAAATATAAAATCTTGCAGAGGACATGTGAAGAGCTAGTTAAGGTGATGGGCAATGAATAGCACTTAACTAAATATTGAATATTCAGCATATTAATAAAACATTATCATTTAGTTCAACTTAAATAGTTGATCATGTACAAGTTACAATCAGTTACTTATCCAAAAAATGAGTAAGAAACTTTCTAACACAGCACATTCATTTTTCAACAAAATTCTATAAATATTTAGGCACTTGTCCTAATGTTTAACAATGTAGCCAATGTTCTTGCTTCTAAAAACATGATGCATAAGTTGAAGGTTTGTTGATTGATGTCAAAGACTGCATTAAATAATCTTGAATCTCTTCATTTCTTGAAAAATGTTTACCACCCAAGTGTTCATTTAAAAATCCAAAAAAGTGATAATCACTTGGTGTCAGATCTGGGCTATGATTCTTTTGAGATTTTTAAGAAAACTCTGGGTGGTGAACATTTTTCATACAATGAACTTTGGAAATGTACTGCATTTACCCCAACTGCAATCAACAAATTTTTATTAAAATGTTTTCGGAAACTGGTAGATATTTGACTCATTCTATTGGGATGATAGAGTAAGTCTAATGTTTCATTCAAAAGTAATTAAACTTAATGTTCTTTATTATAAAAAAAGAAACTAACACCAATTTTTGGGGATGACAAAAATTGGATGAATACATTAAGAAGTAATATTACAGTCCTATTTATAAATTACACCATTTACAAATTAAAAATGAATTAATTTTTGAAGCTATTTTTGGTATCAGTAATATAGGGGTTCAACAACATAATTTATTCAGGTTATTACAATTAGGGATTGCAATTGCTGGATCCCTCATCCAGCAATCCAGCTGGATCCATCACATTTTTTTGGACTGTTGGATCCAGCACCAGGTGCTGGATCCAGTGCTGCGGATCCGCAAATACTCAATTAACTTTCTAAATAATGGCGCAAAAGTTTACATTGTCGGCCTTGCCGCTTTGCTACGTGCGCTATCACTCGGCGGCGAGAGCGATGTTGCCGTTTAGTGCGGCACGTGCTACACCCCCTCTCTACACCACACCACCTGCCCCTTTTACCTCTGCTGATCTAATTTCCAGTTGACTTTCCGCTCTCGCTAAATAAAGTGTTTTCGCGCTAAATAAAATAAGTAACTCTTATCCTAGTCCTGGTGCATAATTCTAATTTACGGTTGGTTGTGACGTCAATGGATCACGTGACGGAACGATTGCAGTTTAAACTGGCCATAGAAGCTCTCTGCAAAAGAGTCGAGTTTGATAACTGCTGACACAACCCTGAAATTTGTCTTAGACAAACTAAAAAGCCAGGACACAATCTTGAGTGCCAACCTTTCCGAGGCACTCCGCAAAATAATCAGAGAACGGCATCTTACCGAGGTCACAGGGATGCTGATTTACATACAGAACCCGAAAAAGTATGACCAAAAAGTTAGAAAGCTTTATCTTTCACATGCCAAAAAAAAAAATGATAAATATGCTGAATTGTGTAAATACATATGTAGTGGAACCAGCAGCAATGGCAGAGGATATTACGGAGGTGGAAAACAATGATCCAGATAACCCGGATTTCCCGAATTTCACATAGGTACAAGAATTAGAGATGCAACTAAAGCATGAGAAAGAAAACTTCATGAAACGGAAAGAAATTAGTACTGAGAAGGATTATGATAAGTTATTAAAAAAGGAAATGGCTGTTTATGAAAGTGAGGGAGTCAGAGGTGAAAACTTGTCTTTGATTTATCATTATTTGATGACATTGAAACCAACTAGCGTAGAGGCAGAAAAGGCCTTATATAGGGAGGGATATACATGCAGTTCATTAAGAAGTAGGTTTGGAGACAACACCATCAATACCATTTGTTTCTTGATATCCTACTTTTAAAAAAGTAAAAAAAAAAAAAATAACAGAAGTGATTGATTTATTTTTATTTAATCTTTTAAAATACTTTATTCAAGACAAGACTAATATTTTATAACTTCTACTCTAATTCTATTAAGTAAGAGTTTTTAACTTTTATTCTATAAGTGGTTAGTGAGCTAGGCTAGGCAATTTTATTGTGAAAATTAGTGAGAAACTGAGACTACCTAGTTAATTAATTAAATTAATGAGTATCAGTATCTTAGATATATGATGATATGAATGTATGTGATTCATGATTGTGATAATAATAACTAACTACTAGACTACTACTAACTACTTACTCACTACTTTATTAACAGTAATAATTAAATAACTACAAACTGATATGTAGAGCCTATATAAGAAAACTGGTAAGGCTGATAGCCACTTAGCCACTGATTATCTGTCCTTACATTATTATAATATAATATATTAATATAAATTAATTAGTGGAATTACCTTTGCTATTATTTAACTTAAAGATTACATTATAATTATAATCTAACTAAACATTGAAAGTTAATTATCTCTATCTCAGTGTTAAACCGAACCAAAGTTAAGTTTACTACCTAAATGTGTAAGAAGTTTTACTGATTTATAGTGACCAGTCTAAATAATAAAAGTTTCTTAAGTATTTAAAAAAATGTTTTATTTCTTTAAAAAACACATAAATTTTGGATAGATAGATAGATAACACTTTATTGCACCAAAAAACATCCGCGCATCATTTCAGCTGGAATGATGTTGGTCCAGCAAAAATCCAGCTGGATTAAAAACACTGCTGGATTGCAATCCCTAATTACAATCCCTTGAGCAGCACCTTAGTATACTGTACTCTTGCAGTAGCATCCTGAATTTTGTTCAGTAAACAAAATTGTCAGGAGAGAAGTGAGAGGTCAGAATTATTTTAAATTTTTTTCTGATACTTTTATATTATTTCTATAGCAAAAGATTATATAAAGTTTTAAAAGGTTAAAAGTCATGCCAATGTATGGCATTAATCTATTAAAGAAATTTCAGTAGATATAATAAATATATAAACTTTTTATTTTAAGACATTGCTTTTCATAAATATGTTAATAATGATTTGACGTAAAATCATGTTGCAATTTAATTTGAAATTATTTGTGTACAGTTGAACATGTGCTTTAGATATTAATTTTATATTTTAATCAGTAGAGTATCTTTTTGTAATTGTAGTAAATTACAATGTAGTGTAAGAAAATATATGAAATCAATTTTTTTTGTGATAGATTACAAAAAACACAGGCGAAAGCAGGAACTAGACGAAGTCATTCCAGATGATGTTAATGATGATGTTGAGACAGGTAGGTATAGACAAATTGTAAAATAGATTAATGGTAATATATCCGCAAATGCTTAAATTGAAACATAATAACTAAAAATACAAATTACTGGTAATTTGATCATCTTCAGAATGAATTAAATGAACTCCATTACTATAGCAATACAAATGGATAAATGTTATCAAAAATACAAAATAAAATGCCACCAAATGGTGTGTTATTTTTTGATAGTATGAAGATAATTGAATTACCAAAATTAAAATAAAGGACACACCACCAAAAAGAATCTTTTAAATCCATTAATTGAGTCTTAAAGAAAGAAAAATAATTAAGCATTCATGGATATATTTTTCCAATTTTATGAAATATATTACAGTATATAATGGATAAATAATGAAATATTAATTTAACATTTTTACATCTTATAAATGAAGTTTTTAATGTTATAAGATAAGTCATCTAAATAATTAATAACATATATTTATCTGACATTTTCACATGAATAAAAGTGAAAAGACAGCTTTAAGACTTATTATTTATTGATACATGTATATTTGAAAATGATGATAATAAATTTACATATTATTCACTAGTGTTACTGAAGTAAATTGTGATACATAAAATTATGTATGAATTTTCTAATGCACAAATTAAGACAACTTTGCATAATTATTTTCAAAACAGTAATCACTCTGATCTAATAACTTCAATATTATATTAATACAAACAATGATCTGATTAAAGTTCTGCTTTACTCTCTGTATTTAAAGATTTAAGATTATACAAAATGTTTATATTTAATTTAATGAAATTTTAAAAAATATATTACTTGGTAATTTTTTTTATTTAATATTGAATCTCAATCTTATTGATATTTATGTAAATGGACAGTCTATTAAAATCTTTTAAAATATTTTTGTTTTCAATATGTTAACATATATTAAATCGCACCAATATCGTTACATTTTTGTTTTGTGGTTCTTATATGAGTTATTTTATAATGAAATTTAAATTCAGCAACTACATTAAATCTATTTTTCATTTAGAAAATTAATTGATTTGATAAACAAAAAAAAATTAAAATTAAATATCCAGTTTTAAATGATGAAATATTTTAACCAGTCAAAATAATTCATCTATGATTGACATTTAAATTGCATTTTTATGTATAACTATTAAAAAAATTATAGAAATTAATTGTGATGATTAGTATAATGATAGAAAACTAACACATTAATGATTGGAATATATCACACGATGTATAAAATGCTAATTGTGAAGTGTTTGGAGAGTATTTTATTACAGTCATTTTTGGATAGAAGAGTCCAGGTGCAAGCTGCTAGACTTTTTGACCTTTTCCAGCTTTTCATCATAGAAAATTAGAAATTGCATTTGTATTTTTATTTGACAACACAAAGATAAAATCTAGCAGAGTTGCTTAATTTTCCCAACAACATTTGGTGGTGCCATCATCATCATTTATACCTGCTGATACCCAGAGGGTATTAGGTGAAAATGGTGAAAAAATCAAACTTTTATACTACCATCCACTACTTTTTTCCAAACTCTCTCCTATCAATAGACAAGTTTTTAACCTGGAAGAAAGTTAAATTCTCTATCCTCTAAAGCCTGCTTATTGCTATCAATCCATCTTCATCTAGGTCATCCCTTTGGTTTTTTCTCTTTGATTTTAGCTTTTAATACTTATTTGGCCAGTCTGTCTTATTCCATTCTTTCCAAATGGCCAAACCACCTCAGATTAGCCTCAATTACTCTTGACCGAATATTTGTTATCTTAAGGATTTTTCTTATGTCTTCTTTTTTAATACGATTTTGTCACTGTATCCATCTATTTACACCACTAATTTTTCTAAAAACTCTCCTGTGTGCTGCTGCTAATTTTAGATCAATTGCCTTGTTTCTCACCCAACTCTTGGAACCATATATTGTCCATATTGAACCTAATTTTGTCTTGTGACTTTTTCTTTCTTATTCCACATATATTTGCTCAATTGAGCTGTCTGACCTGCCTTGCTTAATCTATTGCTGATTTCCAAATCTAACTTTCCATCTTTGCTAAAGCTTGTTCCCAAGTATGAGAACTTATTGACATGTTCTAAGCATTTGGTACCAAGTTTCACTGTTGGTCTCTTTCTCTCTTTCTAGCCATAATCTTCATTTTCTTGTAGCTGATTGACATACCTAAATTCCTGCAACTTTTCCTCTAAATTATTTAAAGATTGCTGGAGGTCCTCAGGTTTATTGATTAGTAGAACAATGTCATCTTCTTAGAGTAAAGAACCAATTTTTATATTTCCCAAACTGAAGTTTGTCAATAGTTTTGATTCTTTTATTAAATTATCCATGAAAATTATGAATAAAAAAGACAATGTACATCCTTGCCTCACTCATAGTTTTACTTGGAATCAGTTGCCTATTTGTTCTATTTTTACAGCTGATTTGCAGTTCCTATACAAGCTTTGGAATTCCCTGAGTAAAGCATCCTTGATGCCATATTCTTAAGAACTTCAAAAAGTAATCCTCTAGGTACTCTTATCAAATGCCTTCTCCAGGTCAATAAATCCCAAGTATAGTTTCTTGTTATATTCTCATGCTTTCTCTGTCAATTGCCTTATTGTAAATATTTGATCTTGGCATCCTCTATTTGGTCTAAAGTCTGTCCGTTCTCCTAGGTCACTTTCAACTATTCATCTGACCCTTTTTTCTAAATTATTGGTATATATTTTAGGTGTACACTGAGGAGTAAGATTTCTCTTTAATTATTACATTCTGTTTTACTTCCTTTTTTTATGAATTGGTGCAATTAAAGCTTTTCCCCAATTCTCTAGGATTCTTTAAAAATTAAAAAAAAATTTCTTAAATTTTTAAAGGTTAAAATTTTTAAAAATTGTTATAAATCATAATGTTCGATTTTTTTTCCTGAGGAAGGTCAATAAAGTAGACCAAAAACATTAGAAGTATAAATAAAAAGACTGCATCTTAAAAGATGCAGTCTTTTTATTTAATAATATAATTATTTATTTTATTATTTATTTAATAATATAAAATCTTTTAAGATTTTATATTATTTGATTTAAGTGCAGTTAAAGAAGGGTAATATTTGAATTACTGAAATTATTACTGAATTGAATTACCGAACATTCTTCGGAAAGAATGTTAGAAACAATTTATTAGAAGTATAGTCCAGAAAGGTCTCTCTTTGGACAAACTACTGCTCAGTCTTTTCTATTACTACCATGATGGTAAGAACACTATTACTAAAAAAGGATTATGGCTCTGATGATCACAAATCTATTTCTGCTTTGTCTAGAATTTGGTGTGAAAGAATGTAGTACTACAGAAAATGAAGGATTACTCACTTTTAGAGATATTAGTGCTATTGATTGAGAAGTGAAAAGCAGTATATTCAGATCTTTTGTGCTTGTATTATAGTGACTAGCCAAGAATGGAAGAGATTACCTACATTGGAGGTTGCTGAGTGATTGTCATATCCTTCAAGATTGGTCAGTACTGTATTCAGATCAAAATGGAACTACCTATGTTTACTCTGTAAAGACATTGTGATGAAGTGGATTATCAGTTGCATGCATACAGTATGTTACTCAGGAGAGATGATGAGAATGATGTGTGATATAGTGATGATGATAGAGAAATGAACAGACTAAAAGTGAATTTGAGGCTATTTGTTTCAAAATATCTTGTGATAAGAGGGGATGCAAATTTGAGAATAAGAAAGATTGATATTATAAATTTATATAAGTGCTAAAAAATTACTTCCTAATAATAATGTATAATTTTTTATTTTAACAAAATTATTTGAAAATTTAATTGCAAGTAAAGTAATAAAGATTTGTTTTATAACATCTTTTCATTTCATCTGTTGTAGATTTTTATGAATTCTGTGACCTCTTATTCAGTCATTCCTAATTAATTTTAAGTGAAAAATTCTTTTTAAATCTTTTTTAGGTTTAAATATATTTTTCCAATTAGTGTAGTATTTTTCTGGAATGTTCCTTTGATTACTATTCCTGTGGATACTAAAGGATTGGTATATCTTCTTTTGAGAAGTTACATGTGTTGTCTGTTTCTTCTAGACAGCTTAACATTGTCACTGGAGATATTACCTCATCATCATTACTGATGCATTGGTGCAAATCTACAAGCTGGCACTTCTATAAAAATTAGTTTCAGTCAGAGAATTGAATGTTGCAACTAGAGGATTTGATCCCGGGATCCTGACCACTTTTTCAGTCCCAAAATTTTCGGGATTAAGTTTTCCTAATCCCGAGATTTTCGGGATTGACATCATTTTCAAAAAAGTTGCAAAATAGACTGCATGAAGCGAAACGTTCAGTGCCAGTGCTTTTAACAGAATTGCTTGCCTATCATTTTGATATAAAATACAAGAAATTTTATTCCAAGCAAGCAGCAGAAATTAACCTAGCGAGCTTGCGATGCTTGCTTGTAATAAAACTTCTTGTATTTTCAACTAAAATGATAGGCAAGCAGTTCTCACTGGGTTACTTGGTAATATACTTCATTTTTGTACTTTTGAATTTTCGCGGGCGCCAATCGATTTTCTGGTGCAGTCGAGAGCACTACTCAGTGTGTTTTACCTGTCAATGTGTCAGCCATCTTGTTTTGCCAGTGTAGTTAATATAGACCCGACGCCTCTCGCTTAGGGGATCGACCTTAGGTGAAAAGGTTACGACCCTCGCCTTGCCCGCGATCTGTCAGGATGATGCGAGAAAGTCTTTTTACGTTTCGGGGTTTGCTGGACGCTGAGAGACTCACACAGAGACCGAATTTACAAAATTAACGCGTTTATTTTTAGAAAGACATGCTTACAATGATCGAAACAATCGGGATTGTAGCCTTTACTCCTACAATCCCGATCCGTGTCGATTGGACTGTTTTTTTCCATCCTCCCCGTGTCCTCGAAGCTTATAAGTAATTATTAACCCCTTAACGACCATCTGTTATTAATTATGATGTAATTA